GTTCTCAACCTGGGGTCGCGACCCCTTTGGGGGTCGAACGACCATTTCCCAGGGGTCGCCTAAGACCATCGGAAAACACATATTTCCGATGGTCTTAGGAACCGAGACACCGCTGCTCTGTCTCCGCGATCTGTGGGCGGGATGATATGCTGCCCCTGTAACCTGGCCACACCTCCGGGATCACTCAACAGCTCCGCCTCCTCGCCGCTGATTGGCCACCGGAACTGTAGCTCAGGAGAGGCACACAGGCGGCCAATCACCGGCGAGGAGGTGGAGCTTGGAGAGGAGGAGTCTGAGCGGCAGAGCGCGCAGATCGAAGAAGATCGAAGGGAGCTGCAGGACCGAGTGAAGAGGAGAGAGGCCAGAGAAGGAAGACAGCTGACAGGTAAGTGCAAATTTTGCTTCTGCAGGCTGTAGATGGGAGAGGGAGGAGAGCGAGCCCAGGCTGGAGCAGGGGTCAGCAAGGTAAGTATCATTGGTGTCAGTGGGAGGAATAGTGCCCCATCATTTGAGTCACTAATACCACGATGGGGCACTATTTCCCCCCACTGACACCAACGATGGGCACTATTCCCCCCCCACTGACACAACGATGGGGCACTATTCCTCCCACTGACCACAACGATGGGGCACTATTCCTCCCACTGACACCAATTGATGGGGCACTATTCCCCCCACTGACACCAATGATGGGGCACTATTCCTCCCCCCACTGACACCAACGATGGGGCACCATTCCTCCCCCCACTGACACCAACGATGGGGCACTATTCCTCCCCCCACTGACACCAACGATGGGGCACTATTCCTCCCACTGACACCAACGATGGGGCACTATTCCTCCCCCCACTGACACCAACGATGGGGCACTATTCCTCCCCCCACTGACACCAATGATAGGCACTATTCCTCCCCCCACTGACACCAACGATGCGGCACTATTCCTCCCACTGACGAACCAACGATGGGGCACTATTCCTCCCACTGGCACCAATGATAGGCACTATTCCCCCCCACTGACACCAATGATAGGCACTAATCCTCCCCCCCACTGACACCAACGATGGGGCACACTATTCCTACCCCCCACTGACACCAACGATGGGGCACTATTCCTCCCCCCACTGACACCAACGATGGGGCACTATTCCCCCCACTGACACCAACGATGGGGCACTATTCTCCCCCCACTGACAGTTACAACGATGGGGCATTCCTCCCCCACTGACACCAACGATGGGGCACTATTCCTCCCCCCACTGACACCAACGATGGGGCACTATTCCTCCCCCCACTGACACCAACGATGGGGCACTATTCCTTCCCCCCACTGACACCAACGATGGGGCACTATTCCTCCCCCCACTGACACCAATGATAGGCACTATTCCTTCCCCCACTGACACCAACGATGGGGCACTATTCCTCCCCCCACTGACACCAATGATGGGGCATTTTTTTTTTTTTTTTCCTTTCCACTACAATCCTCACATTCCTCCCCTGATACCAACGATGGGGGCACTATTCCTCCCACTGATACCAATGATGGGGCACTATTCCCTCCCACTGACACCAATGATGGGGGCACTATTCCTCCCACTGATACCAATGATGGGGCACTATTCCTCCCACTGACACCAATGATGGGGCACTATTCCTCCACTGACACCAATGATGGGGCACTATTCCCCACTGACACCAATGATGGGGACACTATTCTCCCACTGATACCAATGATGGGACACTATTTCCCCCACTGACACCAATGATGGGGCACTATTCCTGCCACTGACACCAATGATGGGGCACTATTACCTCCCACTGATACCAATGATGGGGCACTATTCCTCCCACTGACACCAACGATGGGGCACTATTCCTCCACTGATATTCCTCCCCAACGATGGGACACTATGTCCTCCCACTGACATCAGTGATGGGGCACTAGTCCTCCCACTGATACCAATGATGGGGCCACTATTCCTCCCACTGATGGGGACACTGACAATGGGCGGGACACTATTCCTCCCACTGATACCAACGATGGGACACTATTCCTCCCACTGACATCAGTGATGGGGCACTATTCCTCCCACTGATACAACGATGGGACACTTTTCCTCCCACTGATACCAATGATGGGGCATATTCCTCCCACTGATACCAACGATGGGACACTCATTCCTCCCACTGATACCAATGATGGGGCGCTAGTCCTCCCACTGATACAATGATGGGGCACTATTCCTCCCACTGCAAAATTACAGTTCTGAAGTAGCAACGAAAATAATTTTATGGTTGGGGGTCACCACAACATGAGGAACTGTATTAAGGGGTCGCGGCGTTAGAAAGGTTGAGAACCCCCCCCCCACTGTCTTAGATTGTCAGGTCTAACAAGCAAGGCCCTTGAATTTATACAGTATTAGGATCCATGCACATTAGCAGTTTTTTAAAGATAAAAAAACGCTGGAAAAAAAAAAAGCTGGTAATAAGTTTTTTTTAGTAGTGCTTAGGAACGTTAACAGTTTATTACTGTTTTTACAGTACATGTAGAAAAAAAAAAAAGCTAGAAAATAGCTGTTAGGAGCATTTCAGTAGTGTTTAGGAGCATTTTTTTTCTGCCAGAAAAAAAGTTCCCAAAAACTCTACAAAAACAATTTTTTTCTGCTCCTAAACTTTTTCCTCCCTGCACTGTGAATGTTTACATGTTATGTGCAATTAAACCATGGCAACATCTAATGTTTGTGTAGTATTATGTTCAGCAGACTGTGTTCTTCTATTGTTGTGACTTAGATGACATTCAGAGCACATTTTATGCCCAATTCATGCAAAACTCCACGTAATCCCAAGTGGTTCACATACTTTTTCTTGCAACTGTACTTCAAAAGGATAAGGACATTCCCTTTGGAGCAGGACTCAGGAAGCTGCCATTATATTGTATGGCATCACCCTAACATAGTAACTAGGCTCTTTGAGTGCATTGGAGTGCAGTCCTTAGACTTAAAGATCAAGAACTGAATAATCAAATGACCACATGACCACAGATTGCTCAGATCTTGGTCTGCTCGATGTAGAGAGCAGTGACTGTTAGTCTCTACTCTCTGCACTGCTCCCCCACTACTCACTGGAGTGCAGCGTTGAAGAGATGGTGGGTACAGCTGGCTCCAGCTCTCAGCTGTGCACTGGGAAGTGAAGCCACCTGTCAATCAAGCAGCCAGGTGGATCCTGACAATATTGTCGAGATCCTCCCAGAGCCTGGAGCTGGTCTGCCTCATTAGCTGATAGCAGGCATTACCCTGCTATCACAGGATCACAGGCATTACCCTGCTATGACCCTGGGTCACAGGATAACAAAATTAAGAGTACTCCTGTGACCCACAAGATAAGTATGGCCTAAAAAACATTTGCAATACTTCTCTTTTAAAGTAGGACTTTATTGTTCAGTGTCTGAGTTAACGTTTCTAACAATTCAGAAGTAGCATGGTCTTCATGACAAAGCACATGAAAAGATAATGATAACAAATGATAAATGTAGGAGCATTCATACCCGTATATTGTCGTCCATCTCAATTGTGGCCTGAAGTTTTCCATTTACACTGAATACACAGAAAAGGCCTCGTTCATAGTATATAATACAATGCCCTTCTCTTGAGGCTTGGATAACTTTTGGTCGGACACAGTTTTCTGGAGCCTCTAGTGTTCTCAGCAGATCTCCATTCATAGAATGTATCAGACATGGGCCTTCTGAAACATATAGGATGAAAGAAGAATCAGTACAATGGTATCACATAAAATGTACTTAATTCTACCTTAAACATACTTTCAGCGTTCATAAAAAGAAAAAATTACCTTTGGAGCCACTTATCACTAAGCCAAGCTCTGCACAAACTGTAGCACAGGTGATTTCACAGTCATGGCCAGTCAGGATTGCTCGAGGAGTAGCAAATTCATCTGTAAAATATAGAGGCAGAGAAATGTAGACAGAACTGCAATGCTGTCAGCCTGAAACCAAACATATTACAATAAGTGTTCTTTTAACTAATGAGTGTTCTCATTGGCGGCTTTCTTGAAACATTTCAAAAATTCAGTTGAATAAGATTGACACTTTTAAAGGTTAGTTTCAGCAGAAATAGTCTGTTTTCTTCGTCCCCTTGCCACTTTGAAGTAAACTTATGTGGGACTTAAATACCCACCCTCATACTGGCAAATACTTACTTTTATTGGAATCCCTTGTTCAGCTTCTTGGACTAAAGAGGACTAGCAGGTACCTATGAGTCGAAGGAGGTATAGGACTCTTTTTCCTTTCTCCCACAATGTAACACAAGGTATCTGAATGGCAACTGTCAGGCACCAGAGTTGTCATGTTGGGAGGGAAAAGTCCTTCGTAAATGTGTAAGCCTCAACCAAAGCAAACCTAAATGTGTTCCCCACAAATAGCTGCTTCTACTTATCTTTTCAATGCACCCCTAGTGTCCCATTCACTCACAAGAGTTGTGAGAAGACCCAGTGTAAATTTAATTAAAGCTGTTGTTTGACTTGCCTTGAAAATACACAGGTTCACTTCAGACTACACTTGACACTGTTTGCATGAATCTAAGCAAGCCCCAATAATTGGAACATGTAAATGTTTCATAGCAATATATAGGGTTGTAGGTGAAAAGTGAAAGCTAAGTACAAATATACACTTTGGAGCTATTTACTGCAAAGCCTGAAAAAAAAACTATGTAGCTTGCAACATTTCTACTATATTAGGTCACTGATAAATAGACTGTAACAGATCAGAGTTTTATCATTAGCTAGATATTTGTTAAGAGAAAAAAAACGTTAATAAAGAAAACAAATGCATGCACAACATCTAAGGACTGGTACGCTGTAATATATAGAATTTTTGTTTAACCACCTTCCACCCGCCATATAGTACAGTGACGGGCGCAAGGTTGTTCTCTCGTTCTGATAGGACGTCATATGATGTCCTTCCATTCTCAGCACGCATGTGCGGCTCAGGGAGCATGAAGCACAGCGATCGCTGGTGCGCTGTGTCCCTCAGACACAGCGGATCACAGAAAGAGCCGAAGATGTCGGCTCGGTCATGTGATCAGCTGTGTCCAATCACAGCTGATCACATGTAAACACGGAAATGTCGGTTATCGGCATTTCTCTCCTCTTGAGCTGTCACGCTGACAGCTCGCGAAGAGAGGAGAGCCAGTAATCAGCTTTCTGCGGAGGGAACATGTGCACTGATCATCAGGGCACTGATGATCAGTGTGCCCTGATGATCAGTGTGGCCCCAGAAGTGCCACCTGTCAGTGTCCATCAGTGCCAGCAGTCCGTGCCCATCAGTGCCACATGCCAGTGCCCATCTGAGCTGCCTTTCAATGTCACCCATCAGTGCCACCTATCAATGCTGCCAATCAGTGCCACCTATCAGTGCTGCCAATCAGTGCCAGTCAGTGTCGCCTATCAGTGCGCATCAGTGCCGCCTATCAGTGCTAGTCAGTGCCGCCTAACAGTGCCAGCCAGTGCCGCCTAACAGTGCCAGCCAGTGCTGCCTATCAGTGCCATATATCAGTGCTGCCTTTCAGTACCCATCAGTGATGCCTGTCAATGCCCATCAGTGCAACCTACCAGTGACTCCTCATCAGTGTCCATCAGTGCATCCCATCAGTGCCCATCACTGCAGCCTCATTAGTGCACATCAGTGAAGGAGAAAAATCACTTATTTACAAAATTGTATAACAAAAACTAAAAAAAAAAAACGTGTTTTTGTTTAAAATTTTCAGTGGTTTTTGGTTTAAAAAAAAAAAAAATCCCAGAGGTGATTAAATACCACCAAAAGAAAGCTCTGTCTCAAAAGAATGATAAAAATTTCATATGGGTACAGTGTTGCATGACCGCGCAATTGTCATTCAAAGTGTGACAGCACTGAAAGCTGGAAATTGGCCTGGGCAGGAAGGGGGTATAAGTGCCCTGTAGGCAAGTGGTTAAATAGGTTTTAAATAATAATCTACAGCATATACAACCATCACCATTTAAAATAAAATAGGGTATGCTTTCAAAACAAGCTACTGATTACCATAAAAACCATAGAAAGTGAGCAAACAAATTATCCTGTATTTATTATGCAACAGCCAAAAGCTAAGACATTGCATCATATTTTCTTTGTGGCTGTTGCATACAAAGTATAGGACAAAGCCATTGCTCTCTTTCTGTAGTTTTCAAGTTAAAGTTAATGCATCACCAATCTAAATACCTTTCTAGAGGAAGCTGCCATTGTCTGACAAGCTGCATGCTCATTCCATGGAAGTTAAGCACCTGTTTAGCATCACTTGTTCAGCATCACAGAAAGAGCTGACCCACCTTGGAACTTGTATATGGACTGATAGCAAGACAAAGGCAGTTCCCAACAATCAGATATTCTGCCAAATGACAGATTACCTTTAATAAATGCAGTAGAAGCACAATAGTTGACGCCCACTGTGCTAAGCAGGGTGTACTCAAAAGGTGCTGCATGAAGCTCTATGCTCAATTTTGTTGAAAAATGTTTGTCTCTGGAACTTTCATTCGATTTTCTAAGGCTCAGTGAGGTCAAACTGATGCTCCTAATGAGACTACGGATGGTGCCCTGGGGTATTTCCTCCCAGATCTGGACCAGGGCATCACTGAGCTGAGGTGCAACCTGATGGCGTCAGATGGACCAAAACATGATATCCAAGAGGTGTTCTATTGGATTTAGGTCAGGCGAGCATGGGGGCTATTCAATGGTATCGAATCCTTCATCCGCAAGGAACTGCCTGCATACTCTCGCCACATGAAGCCAGGCATTGGTGTGCACCCAGGAACCCAGGACCCACTGCACCAGCGTAGTGTCTGACAATGGGTCCAAGGATTTCATCCCGATACCTAATGGCAGTCAGGGTGCCATTGTCTAGCCTGTAGAGGTCCGTGTGTCCCTCCATGGATGTGCCTCCCTAGACCATCACTAACCCACCACCAAAATGGTCATGCTGAACGATGTTACAGGTGGCATAATGTTCTCCATGGCTTCTCTAGAGCCTTTCACGTCTGTCACATGTGCTCAGGGAGAATCTGCTCTCATCTGTGAAAAGCACAGAGCGCCAGTGGTGGGCCTGCAAATTCTGGTGTTCAATGACAAAAGACAATCAAGCTCTATGGTGCCATGCAGTGATCACAGAGCCCCACTAGAGGACGTCGGGCCCTCAAGCCACCCTCATGAAGTTTGTTTCTGATTATTTGGCCAGAGACGTGCACACCAGTGGCCTGCTGGAGGTTGTTTTGTAGGGCTCTGGCAGTGCTCATCTTGTTCCTCCTTGCACAAAGGAGCAGATACCGGTCCTGCTAATCGTTAAGGACCTTCTACAGCCCTGTCCAGCTCTCCTAGAGTAACTGCCTGTCTTCTAGAATCTCCTAAACACTCTTGAGACTGTGCTGGGAGACACAGCAAACCTTCTGGCAATGGCAAGTATTGATGTGCCATCCTGGAAGAGTTGGACTGCCTGTGCAACCTCTGTAGGGTCCAGGTATTGCCTCATGCTACCAGTAGTGACACTGTCCCTAGCCAAATGCAAAACAGTGAAAAACAGTTAGAAAAGATGAGTAGGAAAAAAAAAATGTCAGTGGCCTCCTCCTGTAAAACCATTCCTGTTTTGGGGGTCATCGCATTGTTGCCCATCTAGTCCACCTGTTAATTTTATTAACACCAGAGCAGCTGAAACTGATTAACAACCCCCTCTGCTACTTAACTGACAATATCAATATCCCAGGAGTTTAACTGATTTGATGCTATACTCTGATTAAAAAGTGTTCCTTTAATTTTGTTGATCAGTGTTGTCACAGCTGCTCCCTGCTTCCCCCCGGCAGGATGACCTTCCCCCCCCCCCCCCGCCATCTCCCGTCTTGCCGCGGCTCTTTGAAGCGGAGCAGCGGATGATGAGAGGCGCGGCCCCTCGCACCTCTGCCACTATCTTGTCCCCATCTGGTGAGACCGGAGGAGACGGAATAGCGAGGTTCACGCCTCTCTACAGAGAGGTGCGAGCCTCCTGCAGAGATGAGAGGGATCACGGTAACAAGCTGATGCCGCACGATCCCTGTCATCCGCAGCGCGGGCACGAGAAGTTCCCGCGCTTGCAGATGTCCCTGGACAAAGGTCGCACTCACAAGAAGCGTGGCCCGTGTCCAGGGGGTGTGCCTTGTTGCCGAGCGATGAGGCACCCCGCCCCCAGTTGCCAGGATGACCGGAGAGCGTCATGCATCAGTTTAAGAGGCTGATGCCAGGCTCTCCAATCGTTCATTCTGCTGTGCAGTCAAGGAGGGAGCCCCAGCTGCAGCGGGACCCTCATGACCAGACTCTCTGCCTGAGACCCCCAAGGATAGAGGGAGATCGCCCACACCTGCCTGAGACCCCAAGCAAAAGGGGGGAGATTACCTGCTACCTGCCTGAGACCCCAGCGGAGGGGAGATTACCTGCCATCTGCCTGAGCCCCCCAAGCCTAGGGGGAGATTGCCTGCCAGCCTGCCGGAGACCCCCAGCCCAGGGGTAGATTACCTGCCTGAGACCACAGCGGAGGGGCGATTACCTGCCTGAGTCCCCAGTCCAAAGGGGAGAGACTGGACAAGCCAGCCTGCCTGAGGCCCCAGCGAAGGGGGGAGATTGCCTGCCTGCTGCCTGAGACTCCCAGCGCCAAAGGGAGAGACCCCTCGCCTGTCTCAGACCTCCAACAGGTACCTGTGTCTTACTTTCTTATCCCTGGGAGACCGGACACCCTGTCGGATCTGTGGGCATATGCTTACCCCTGTTTTACTTGAACTGTCCCTGTGATGATCCCCTAACCCCCCTGTTGGATTACAATCTGATACAGAGACTTTTTCTTTGCTCGCGATACTGGACTACAAGTGTTTTAGCCCCTCCTTGCTGTCCCTCTACTAGCAAGATCACCCTCCCTGCCATTTTCCCATTGAGTGACTGTCATTTTGTCTCAATAAAGCTTTGTGTGTTTCCCATCTGCTCTGTGTGTTCTGTCCTGCCTACCCTCCGTCACAAGTGTATATATCATTAAAAGTAAATATTCCATTTAGTTTCCATCTCTGACTTCTCATTTAAATATGTTGCTTGGCTGCCATGTTGAACCACCTGCCTCAGTATGATTTCCTTGTCTGGAATAAGTATGTACATAAGAAGTTCCGACTTTTCCTGATTTGCATGCTTGTTACAGATCATTGAATTTGAAAATATTGAAGCCAGAGTATGGCAGGAAACTTTCATTTTTAGATGTGGGCCAGCAGTGTCAGCATCTCTCTTAGGACAGGTTGTTCTGCTTTTGAACCAGGCCCATGATCTTAAGCACAGTCATAAAGTAGATGGTACCCTTGCCTTTGACCACAGGGTTCCTGGGTCTAATATTTGCCTGGATCCTACCACAACCCAAAAACAAGGCTGATTTTCTTTTGACAAGATTTGTCTAAAGTTTATGCACACACTTTTGTACATCTTATGTCATGGAACCAGCTGAAATAACTGGTTTTGTGTGATCTATAGAGAGGCGATTAATATGTGTGAAGTAAACAAATGTATGGAATAATGTTAATGATTTATTTAATGGACAAGAATTTAAGTATGGTGTATTTCACTAAGAAAAAGCATTGTGTCTTTCCTAAAATCCTTCTTAGTAAGTCACCCAAAAGGATTGGAGTGAAGCAGCCATGCCATATTTAGCAGATATTCTTACAGCTCTGCTAATAACCTGAAATTTACAATTACAAACACCCCAAACAGCAGACTATATTTATGTTTGATTTGTGTGTTGTATGCAGCTACACGTAAGTGGCCTGTGAGACTAAAAGGGAGGGGAGAATACCATAATGAGAGTGAGGGGTAACAGCCACCACAGACAGACAGCTAAGAACTCAAATAATGTTTTGCACATGTTTTTTTCTTTTCATGTTGCAAAACCTGGAAGAGGAAGGAGGGAGGGAGACCATTTTTTGAAATTATACTGTCGGCATGTGAGTAGTTTAAAAAGATCAAGAGGTTCTTTATCTTGACCATGCTACAAATGTGCAACATTCTAATTGAAAAAGACATCTCTCTTTTGCACACAAAAACAACTCAGGATATCAACTTTTTTAAAAAAATGCTACTTTTGTTACCTGGTTGTCATTTGTTGCTAAAAAGGTCATAGAAGTCTTGAAAGCCTCACTGAGGCTCACGTGTACAATATATCACATTGTGAGTGAAGTGAGCAAGGCAAAGAATAACCTACATAATAAATCATTACCATAACACATACATTTGTACTAAGCTTGTGTCCATTCATACATGTGAGAGGGATCAGCAGAAAGCATCACATGCACAAAACTAGAATGAAAAATGGATGCATTCTTTTACAAATACTTCATGTCTACTTTTACTTCCAAGCATTGCTATACATGGAGGAAAAGGGCAGCATAATAAAGTAGCAGATGTGTAGAAGAGTGGGAAAAAAAAACATTCATGGGTGGGGAAGC